AACCGTTCAAAAACCGGCTCCCCCTCAAATGAAGGATTAATCATTAAAACTATTCTGAGTGGGCATTCCGATGACCATGAGTCGTGCGTGCCCCTTGCCTTTTTTGCTTTGAACGTTGGGGAAAGCGATTGCGACCAGAGCGGCGTTTACCTGGGTCTCCCCGATTGCGATTGGGAGACCGACCCATGGTTTGGCTTTGGGTTTCCCTTTCCCACAAGCTCGCTGGCCTTCGGCCACAAGCTTTGCGTTTGGCGGCTCTGTATGTCTTGCAAGCGGGTGAACTTCTGCGGACGAGTGGGGACATCTGATTTCTGAGTGCGGATATACTACTGCGCCGGGAGGGTGGCGGGCAGCGCGGCGGTGGCAAGGTGTGTTTTTGTCTCGCTCGCCGTTGTCGATCGCACCTCTGCGGAACCTGGACCCTTGCCTTAAACGTGTAAACACGCCTTGTGTGAAACACGGCAAAAGCCGCCATGCTGCAACGGTCTGACGCCCGATCACCTTTTATTCTGGAAACACTTGTCGAGCGCCACTGTGGCTCAGCAAAGGGTCATGAACTCGGAGATGTCAGCCCAGACGTTTGGACAGCTTAAGGGCAATGACTCACATTGTTGGGGTCACCTGTTTTGGCCTTTTAACGCCAAACCATGCCTGCTTGTAGGAATTCGCTTTTACTTCCAGAATGATGGGCTTTGGCTGATCTGGAATTTCAAGTCGGCAGCAAATCAGGAAGCTGTCGTTCGGGGCCCGAAGACCAAGTGCCGTTAAATTTGCAAGGCCCTCATCGAAAAATGACTGGGCCGTGGCCTCAGAGGGAAGGAGGGCTGGTAAAAAGGTTGACCCCTTCTTTTTAAGGTTGACCGCATATGCAACAGATTCCGAACTTGAGATTGTGTTTCTATTGGTCTCCAATAAAATTGCCACCCACACCCGAAGCATTTTTGGCATGATGTCAGGGTCAACTGCGAACCCGCTTGGACTTCCCTTAATAGTGAACAAACCCCTTCACATCATCACCACGCAAAGAGTTTTGGGCTTCACCTGGGCTGCCCCACGCCCTGGTTTCGCTTTGGCTTCCTCAACAAGTGGCGCATCTCCCTGCCTTCCATGCTCAGTGGCCTGCCAACCCAGGGAGGGGCTCCCACACTACATCTTTTGCATTGGGTATGCGTCTCAATAGTTCCGGAACATGGTCGTGTTTCTTCCCCACATCTTTGCCAACTCCCGCCGCCGCGCCCGACCCCCGCCGCCGCGCCCGACTCACTCACTCACACACACTCCGCGCCCGACTCCCGCCGCCGCTGCCGCCCCGTCGCTCTCACTCACTCACACACACTCACACACACACTCACTCACACACACTCACTCACACACACTCACTCACATACACTCACTCACACACACTCACTCACACACACACACACACTCACTCACACACACTCACTCACTCACACTCACTCACGCTCACTCACTCACTCACCCGCACAAAGTCACTCACTCACACACACTCACACACACACACACTGATTCACACACACTCAGTCACACACACTCACTCGCACACACACTCACTCACACTCACTCACACACACTGACTCACACACACTCACTCACACACGGCTTGCGGTTGCGTGGCAGAGGCAGCATTTGGGAGCTGTTTAAAGGGCTGGGATGTTGTTGCGCGCAGCTGTGGCCCCCCATCTCGCGTGGCAGGCGCAGCACTTTGGAGATGCAAGTGCTGAAGTCGTGGCAGGCGCAGTACTTCGTGCACCTGGGCTTGCGTTTGCGACGCAGGGGCAGCGTTTGGGAGCTGTCTGAAGGGCTGGGATGTTGTGGCGCGCGCGGCTGTGGGCCCCCATCTCGCGTGGCAGGCGCAGCACTTTGGAGATGCAAGTGCTGAAGTCGTGGCAGGCGCAGTACTTCGTGTACCTGGGCTTGCGTTTGCGTGGCAGGGGCAGCATTTGGGAGCTGTCTAAAGGGCTGGGGTGTTGTCGCGCGCGCGGCTGTGGGCCCCCATCTCGCAGCACTTTGGAGATGCAAGTGCTGAAATCGTGGCAGGCGCAGTACTTCGTGCACCTGGGCTTGCGTTTGCGTGGCAGGGGCAGCATTTGTCGCGCGCGCGGCTGTGGGCCTCCATCTTGCGTGGCACTCGCAGCACTTTGGAGAGGCAAGTGCTGAAATCGTGGCAGACGCAGTACTTCGCGCACCTAGGCTTGCGTTTGCGTGGCAGGGGCAGCGTTTGGGAGCTGTCTAACGGGCTGGGGTGTTGTGGCGCGCGCGGCTGCGGGCCCCCATCTCGCGTGGCAGGCGCAGCACTTTGGAGATGCAAGTGCTGAAGTCGTGGCAGGCGCAGTACTTCGCGTACCTGGGCTTTCGTTTGCGTGGCAGGGGCAGCATTTGGGAGCTGTCTAAAGGGCTGGGGTGCTGTGGCGCGCGCGGCTGTGGGCCCCCATCTCGCGTGGCACTCGCAGCACTTTGGAGATGCAAGTGCTGAAGTCGTGGCAGGCGCAGTACTTCGTGCACCTGGGCTTGCGTTTGCGTGGCAGGGGCAGCATTTGGGAGCTGTCTAAAGGGCTGGGGTGTTGTCGCGCGCGGCTGTAGGCGCAGTACTTCGCGTCACCTGGGCTTGCGTTTGCGTGGCAGGGGCAGCGTTTGGGAGCTGTCTAAAGGGCTGGGGTGTTGTGGCGCGCGCGGCTGTGGGCCCCCATCTCGCGTGGCAGGCGCAGCACTTTGGAGATGCAAGTGCTGAAGTCGTGGCAGGCGCAGTACTTCGTGTACCTGGGCTTGCGTTTGCGTGGCAGGGGCAGCATTTGGGAGCTGTCTGGGGTGTTGTCGCGCGCGCGGCTGTGGGCCCCCATCTCGCGTGGCACTCGCAGCACTTTGGAGATGCAAGTGCTGAAATCGTGGCAGGCGCAGTACTTCGTGCACCTGGGCTTGCGTTTGTGTGGCAGGGGCAGCATTTGGGAGCTGTCTAAAGGGCTGGGGTGTTGTCGCGCGCGCGGCTGTGGGCCCTGCTGAAATCGTGGCAGGCGCAGTAGTTCGCGCACCTGGGCTTGCGTTTGCGTGGCAGAGGCAGCGTTTGGGAGCTGTCTAACGGGCTGGGGTGTTGTGGCGCGCGCGGCTGTGGGCCCCCATCTCGCGTGGCAGGCGCAGCACTTTGGAGATGCAAGTGCTGAAGTCGTGGCAGGCGCAGTACTTCGTGTACCTGGGCTTTCGCTTGCGTGGCAGGGGCAGCATTTGGGAGCTGTCTAAAGGGCTGGGATGTTGTCGCGCGCGGCTGTGGGCCCGCATCTTGCGTGGCACTCGCAGCACTTTGGATATGCAAGCGTGAAATCGTGGCAGGCGCAGTACTTCGTGCACCTGGGCTTGCGTTTGCGTGGCAGGGGCAGCATTTGGGAGCTGTCTAAAGGGCTGGGGTGTTGTCGCGCGCGCGGCTGTGGGCCCCCATTTCACGTGGCAGGCGCAACACTTTGGAGATGCAAGTGCGGAAATCCTGGCAGGCGCAGTACTTCGCGCACCTGGGCTTGCGTTGGCGTGGCAGGGGCAGCGTTTGGGAGCTGTTTAAAGGGGTGTTGTCGCGCGCGCGGCTGTGGGCCCCCATCTCGCGTGGCAGGAGCAGCACTTTGGAGATGCAAGTGCTGAAGTCGTGGCAGGCGCAGTACTTCGTGCACCTGGGCGTGCGTTCAGGTGCATGCCTCTGTTTTTTTAATGCGCGTCAGGTAATTTTCATTTCATCCTTGAGATTGGATATGGCATCAATCATATTTCGCGCTTGCCGCAGCCGTTTGATTGAGAGATTCGCTCATGTTTCAAATTCTGCATTCAGCCCGACAGGCGTTCTGCAGCATGTATCAAGTTTTTTTTGAAATTTGAAATCAGCAAAAGGAACAGGACGTAAGTTTTCCTTAGCCGAAGATGCCGGTTGAGAGTCATCGTGGCTCATGGCGAGCATCTGTGCGGAAGGACGGCCGCCGCGTGCGAGGTCCAGTGCGATGTTTGCGGGCAGAGGCGGATATTGATTTGTCTCAATTGCAGAACGCGTGCAGCGAGGGGCTAGCAGCATTGGTAGCAGCGCACGCAGCGATGTCAGCAGCAGCCAGCTCCAGGCAGCAAGGTTTGCAAGAGGAGAGGCCCGCTATGCCAGCGGCAAGGGGGCAGCAAAGCCAGACGCGGGACACGCTGTTTCAAACATTGGTGGACTGCTTTTCCCAGCAGCTGCGTCAAGGGCACTGCGACAGTTGGTCTCGAGCTACGCCAGCATCTCGGGCGTTGGCATCTCGCGCACGCCGGCTGGAAAGCAGTGCTGACATGTCTGGGATTCTGGACGCTGCTAAGGGTTTGGCCTGTGAGCATTTTGCCATGGAGGCCCTTGCCGAGCAGCCAGACGCCAAATGGCTGCGTGATCTTGGCATCCAGTTTTGCTTGGACTGCGGCAGCCGTCCTCTGCATACCTGCCATGACTATGTGGGCTTGCGGAACCTGGGCAACTCGTGCTATTTGAATTCTGTGGTGCAGTGCATCTAGGGCTGCGCGCCGTTGCGCGAAGATGTTACAGGGCAGTCTCCGCCCAAAGGGCCGCTGTCTAGGCACTCGCAGCGACTTTTTCAGCAGCTGTCTGGAGAAGATGGACGCTGGGACTATGTTTCGCCTGCTGCGCTGCTGCACCAGGTGCTCCTGACCGACGACGCTGCTTTTCAATATGGAGAGTCGGCCGATGCGTCAGAGTGTTGCAGCATGTTGCTGCACTCCTGCCTGACACGGCCAGCGTTGTTTATGGAGCCGCAGGATCCTCTAGGCAGGGCAGGGCGGAGCGCGAAGAGAAACGTGCTTGCGTTTTTTGCTATCACACGCCAGTTGTGTTAATGTTGGAGAGTTGGGTTTGGGGCTGTGTGTAGTGCAGTGGATAGCGTTAGTGTGTGTAGTGCAACAAAACTTCGCATGAGAGATGTGCTGCTTGCCTTTGCAGGAGACTATGTTCACGTGGACGGGATCCATGTGCTGTCTGGGTTTCCTGAGGACGCCAGCGGCCGCGGCGTGACTGTCGGCAGGCTGATGCAGGCGCACTTTGCCGACAGCTTTTGGCCTTCAACGTCAGCCGCGATTCTTCGCTTACAGCCAGGTCCAGGAGACAGACTGAGCTGGAACAATTGGACAGTCCGAGTGCCGGTCAAGGTGCTTGGCAGAGATCGTTTGTCTCATTTTGTTTGTCAGCTGTCGGGTGATCGTGTGTGTGTGTGTGCGTTGACGTTATTTGGTTCGTGTGCGTGAATAGGGAGTTGCGTGTTGCTCGTATCTGGCTGTGCTATCTTTTGCTTTGCAGGCCCAGTACACTGTGACTGGCTTCATCTGGCATGGCAACGACCACTACGTTGCTTACCTTGTGCGCGGCCAGCAGTGGTATTGCCTGAATGATGCAGTTGTGACTGAAGTTTCTCAAGCTGACTTGCCTGCTGACCCTTACATGATTTTCTTGCAGAAAGTCGTGCGCCAGCGCGGCAAGAGTACCAAATCAAGCACAGCGCTGCCAGATGATGTCCTTCACGCATTTGGATGCGATTGCCAGAAGCATTGGCGCTGGCAGCCACTCAGCAGCTACCGTCCTGCGGCCTGCCGTCTTGCGAGCAGCGTCAGCGAGCGCGACCCAGCATGGGAAGGTTCGCGCGGCGTTTTGCTCGCAAGATGCGCTCGAAGTCGCAGGATGGCACAGTCACAGACCTGGCAGGGAGATTAGGCAAGCCAGACAGGACAGCCGCAAGGATCGCGCCGGTCATCAAAGGCAAAGGCATCTCGCAGATGAGC